CATGTGAAAGGCATCAGGAAAGGAAGGCAGGGGACCAACATGGCTGAGTAAGGATCTCCTGGTCTAACTGAAACGCATCAGGGAAATGCATAGGCAGTGGAAGCAGGGACACACATCCTAGAAAGAAAACAGGGATACTGGACAAGAGTTTAGAGATGGGATCAGGAAAGCTAAGGCACAGCTGGAGCTAAATTTCCAAGGGATGTGAAGAATAATAAGGGCTTCTACAGGTACGTTAGTCAGAAAAGAAAGACAAAAGAAATTGTACCCCCATGATAAATGAGAGAGGAGATCTGGTCACAACTCAGATGGTGAAGGCTGAGGTATTCAGCAACGTTTTTCCCCTTCAGTTTTCACTGGCAATTGTTCTTCCCACATCCAACAGCATCCTGGCCTGTATCAGGAATGGCCAGCAGGAGTAGGGAAGTGATTGTGCCCCTGTACTCGGCACTGGTGAGGCCGCACCTTGAATACTGTGTTCAGTTTTGGGCCCCTCACTACAAGAAGGATGTTGAGGTGCTGGAGCGTGTCCAGAGAAGGGCAACGAAGCTGGTGAGGGGTCTGGAGCACAAGTCTGATGAGGAGCGGCTGAGGGCACTGGGCGTGTTCAGTCTGGAGAAGAGGAGGCTGAGGGGAGACCTTATCGCTCTCTACAGCTGCCTGAAAGGGGGTTGTGGTGAGGTGGGGGTTGGTCTCTTCTCCCAAGTAACTAGCGATAGGACAAGAGGAAATGGCCTCAAGTTGCGCCAGGGGAGGTTTAGATTGGATATTAGGAAAAATTTCTTCACTGAGAGGGTGGTCAGGCATTGGAACAGGCTGCCCAGGGAGGTGGTGGAGTCGCCATCTCTGGAAGTGTTCAAAAAACGTGTGGATGTGGCACTTCAGGACATGGTCTAGGGGACATGGTGGCGCTGGATTAATGGTTGGACTTGATGATCTTGAAGGTCCTTTCCAACCTAGTGATTCTGTGATTCTGTGTGATCTCCCAAGTCCCTGAATATCAAGGCAGGGACTGGCAGAATGAAGTTCCACCCATCTTAGGGGAAGATCAGGTTCAAGACTGTCTGAGATGCCTGAGCATACAGAAATCCATGGCACCTGATGAGATTCATCCCAGGGTCCTGAGGCAACTTGCAGATGTAGTCGCTAAGCTACTGACCATCATATTTGAAAAGTCATGGCACTTAGTCACCCAGTGACTGGAAAATAGGAAACACAACACTCATTTTTAAAAAGAATAGAAAGGAGGACCCTGGGAACTACCGACCAGTCAGCCTCACCTCTGTGTCCAGTAAGATCATGGAGCAGATCCTCTTGGAAGCTATGTCAAGGCATATGGATCACAGGGAGGAGATTAGGAACAGCCGACATGCCTTCACAAAGGGCAACTCATGCCTGACTAATCTGGTGGCCTTCTACGATGGAGTGACTGTGTTGGTGGGTAAAAGGAAAGAGCAACTTAGGTCATCCACCTTGGCTTCTGTAAGACTTTTGACACATTCACACAACATCCTTGTCAATAAATTGGAGATACCAGTTTGAAGCATGGACTAGTCAACGGGTAAGGAATTGGCTGGATGGCCACGTCCAAAGAGCTGCAATCCACGAATGGCTCAATGTCCAAACGGAGATCAGTAACAAGTGGTGTCCCTCAGGAGTCCGTGTTGGCACCGATACTATTTAATATCTTCACCAATGATGTAGACAGGGAGATTGAGTGCAGGTATGCAGATGACACCAAGCTGAGTGGTGTGGTTGATTCATTTGAAGGAAGGGATGCCATCCAGAGGGACCTTGACAGGCTTGAGGAACAGGCACATGTGAATTTCATGAAGTTCAACGAGGCCAAGTGCAAGGTCCAGCACCCAGGTTGGGGCAGCCCGTGGTATCAGCACAGGCTGGGTGTGAAGGGATGGAGAGCAGCCCTGCCGAGAAGGACCTGGAGATATCAAAAAATTGTGAGCCAGCAATGTGCACTCGCAGCCCAGAAGCCACCCGTGTCCTGGGCTGCCCCCAAAGCCGCGTGGCCAGCAGGGCGAGGCAGGGGATTCTGCCCCTCTGCCCCGCTCTGGGGAGACCCCCCTGCAGTGCTGTGCCCAGCTCTGGAGCCCTCGGCACAGGAGAGACACGGACCTGTTGGAGCGGGGCCAGAGGAGGCCTCAGCAATGCTCTGAGGGCTGGAACAGCTCTGCTGGGAGGACAGGCTGGGAGAGCTCGGGGGGCTCAGCCTGGAGCAGAGAAGGCTCCGGGGAGACCTTATTTCAGCAGCCAGCATATACAGGGAGCTGATAAGAAAGATGGGGACAGACATTTTAGCAGGGCCTGCAGTGATAGGACAAGGGATAATGGTTTTAAAATACGATATATTTAGATTTGGACAAAAGGAGGAAATTTTTCACAATGGGGGTTGCAAGACACTGGAGCAGGTTGCCTAGAGAAGCTGTGGGTGCCCCACCATTGGAAGTGTTGAAGGTCAAGCTCAAGTTTTGAGCATCCTGATCTAGTGAAAGATGTCCCTGCCTGTGGCAAGGGGCATGGACTAGATGGTCTTTAAAGGACCCTTCCAACCCAAAGCATTCTACGATTCTACAGGGTACAATTTTGACCTGGGTTTGCAAAATGTTAGGCTAAGTGAGCTCCTAACAATGGATTGTACAGTAGACTTATGTGTGCTTGAACAGTAAACGTTAGCACGGTAGGCTGTGGTACAATTAGTTGGTTTTATATTATATTTATAGCCCTGGATACACATGATGTTGTGAATTGTGCAACTAAAATTCCTTCCTTGAGGCTCTGTTTTCCCATGCCCTCAGAGCAGCAGAGCACTGCTGCTGTCCTGTTGAGTAGCCTGCCTTAGTCCCTCTACAGCAGGATGCAGGGGCTCCTGAACAGATCATACTCCTTAAAAGCAGTGGACTGCTGCTGCAGCAGTGCCACCACCACCTCTTACCAGCTCGAGCCAGTCCAGCAAATGATCTGCTGTAACACTGATGGAGCATGAATGGACTGCTGGAGAATGATTTCTTCCGCATGCCATGTTATGTGGGGGAATATGTTGTTGATGTAACTCTACAAAATCCAGGCAGTCACAAAGCATCCATGTCTAGAAAGCAGGTCCAGTTAGTAACTCATGAATGACAGTAAATAAGACTCTAGACTGAAATCCACTATGAAAAACCTCCTTTAATTCATGGGTTTATCATGTTGTCCATCTATTGGGCAGGAAGGCAGTAAACATAATGTGGTCAAAGTACAGCTGTGTAGAGTACTGAGGAGAAATGGTGCAGACAACTGAAGAGCACCAGAGCATGCAGGACAACCAAGTGGGCAGGCTGGGGTGTGTTGTGCAAGTAGGGATGGTACCAAGAACACTACACACCAAACAGACAAGAAACCACATTCTTGCACTGGTGACATTTTATTTTGTCATCTTCTGATCTTGCCCCTCTTACTGCAAACCTTACACATCCTGCACAGAAGTCCACATATTTATACTTTCAGCGCAGCACTGCAACCACAGTGACAGCTGGTTCCAAAAGGCAGTGTAACTACTACATGTAAATCACAGTGGAGCACTGCATGCTGTCTCACTACCATACAGGTGATAATACCGACGAGAGACAGACCGTGCTCAGCTGGAGTCTGCTTTGCTTATTATACGGGAGAGGCAGTTCCTGAGAACACCCTGGCCATACAGCACTTCCCACTGTCAGGGCCAATGTGATTATTCTGGTAATAACACATAGGTACAAGCCCGCCTGTTCACGAGGCACTGCAGTGGCTTCCCTGGGAATTTCAGCACCAGCAACTTTCGTAGACAGTGAAAATTCACGGGGAGGTAACATGAAGCCGGATGCGTATTTTGCTGCCTGCAAAACTGCAAGGAAAATGTCAAATTTTGCAACTTCCTGGTACAGTGGGTCTTTGGATAAACAGAAATTCTGGAGAACCCATTCTCTGAAAGACAGAGTAAGACTGCCTGTGGTGCTGCTTCCTACTAGCTTCTATGACGTCTGCTGCATTTACGGAGCACAGGAAGATAATCCCTATGATCCAGAGTTCATGCCAACGCGTGACTTAAAATAATGAGCCCTCTTCTTTTAACCTTTTCCACACAGGGAAGCCACTGCTAATATACCTCATTCACACAAAGGAAGCAGTACTGAAAATAAACAGGTGATATAAGACAATGAAAGTAGCATGTACAGTGCAGAAAAAAAGGACACTACGGGACCGTAGGCATGACAAAGAATAATACACTGGCAAGGCAGTTCAATGGAATCTGGGTTTCACCATGAACAAGACTGCTATTGTAGGTGTGCACTGTCTTGCTGTAAGTTTGTAAGTCTGAAAAACGCAGTCTTCAGAGGGCCCACAAAGACCATCTTATTACATTAGTTACTGGGGGTCTCTGAAAGGCCAGAGTATCTCCAAAAGGTTGGAAAGTATTTATTCCTCACTGGACTGGAAGACCCTCTACCTACCTTCAACATCCAGTGCTACAGAATACAGATGCTGGGGAATACTGGGTTCTTGACGAGGGTAATAATGATGTCCCATCACTTCCAAGCAGACCAGAGCACATGTGCTACTGTCTGGTGCTGAGCCTAAACATCAGCGTATGAAGTAGAGACAGTGCCTTGTGCAACAGGCTGGAGCACACACTAGGAAGGTATTTGCTCTGCTGTGGCAGCCTTGCTGACAATAGACGGGACAGTTACAGGGCAAGCTAAAGCCTTTGTATTCTGCACAGTGCTGCTTAGTTTGTATGCATACTGTGCAAGAAAGGATTTCCCCCGCCTTAAAGAGACCCAAACACTGTACTGGTCAGTCCCTTATAGGGAGAACTGCTAAAAAAGAACCCTGATCTCACCCATCAGCGGAAGATGACAAAACAGACAGGTGCTGTACTGGGAACCACTAAACAAGCAACTAATGTGACCCAAACTGAGACTGTAACCACAGCAGGAACTACACTGGGTACACTGCTAGTGCCACTGTCCAAAGGAACTACACCAGGAGAGGCAGCCTCTGTACCACAGCTTTGGTTTGAAGTCTTTCACAACTGACCAGAGGAAACAGTTTCAAAATCAAGGTCACTGAGTAGAATGGAGTCACAGTCCCAAAGACATTTGGTTGCTTAGATTGGTGCTGTGGGTTATGAGCCTGACAGAAGTGGGACTTGTAACTGAAAAGCTTTAGGATTACTCCTTCTCTCCTCCTAGGGATTTACTTCCGGCCTCGCTTGCGGCTGGTTTTTGGAAATTCGGCTCTCTGTGCAACTTGGGGCTCCCCCTCCTCGCTACTTGCACTCTCATTGTCCACCCGCTGTGGACGACCTCTCTTACTTCTCCTCATTTTTTCTACTCCAGCAGTGGGGAGCTTCTTGGCAGCGAGGGCCCCAGTTCTCTTCTTTTTGCCCCGGGTCAAAGGACGTTTCTTCCGTTGCTTCCTCTGCTCTTCTCTTTGGCGGATTTTCATTAGCTTCTCAAAGCTTTTGGTGGTAGTTGTGTTCACATCAAACCAGTCCTGGAGGGTTCAGAATGCAACAGGTTGGTACTGACGGTGGAATGGGGCTTATAATAAAGCTGCCTTGTGGGACCAGGGTTTCCTAAAATGTGAGATCTGGAAAGGCACCTGCCTAACAAAGCTCTGTTCTTCGATGGTTCTCCTCAGGTGTCACTCTCTCTCAGAGGATTCAGATTTGATTTGGCAATTGCCTGGCTAAAGGCATGGGAAATGCTGAAAAGCTGAACTGAGCAGCAGGAGCTTGGGACAAGGCATGTGACGTGACATCACCCTTGCTGCCCAGACCAACGCTAAGACCAGCTATGTTTAAGCAAATCTAAGGCCACTTGAGTCCGGGACCCTGTTCCCAGCAGCAAGGAAAAAAGAAAACAGGGCAAGCATCCAGCATTTCCTTCCCAAGACACCCTCCCCACCTTCAACAACCTAGGGTTTCAGGATTTCCATCCTGCCTGCCTTACCTCAGCATGCACAGAGTTGATGTGATACTTGACCCCACTCTCTGAAATGAACTCCTTCTCACACAGAAGACACTTGTATTTACCAGCCACAAAGTCTCCCTGGCACCAAAACAAAAAAATCCATCAGCAGTTGCTTCCTTGAAGGCTGATACACCTATACATTGTATTTGAATCTTGCTCATATATAACCCAGCAGTGAGAAGTAGAAACTCTTATTCATACAAGACAATGCTTTAGCTACAGGAGCACTCACATTATTGACAAGTTATGCCCACAAAACACAGGGCTGCTCTGTAAGATGTTACAAGGTCTCCAACACTGTACCTGGAAAAAATGCTCTTGTAGCTGTGAATCCACAGTAAGGACTGCAGTTTCACTGAAGTGCGTGCCATTAAGATGCTTCCTCCTTGCCTTAAGAAGTGTGTGCAATGGGCAACCCCATTAGCACATAGGGAAGCACTCAAATTGTTAGGAACTCAGATTAGCAGATGGCAGGACAACAGCTTGAATAAGGAGATATCTGAGGGACAGGGACAGTCAGGCTATTGTTATAAAAGTGAGTACAGGAAGGCTACCAACCAAGGTACATGTGCCAAGGTGAGATTTGAGTCCTGAGACACTGCCGTATACAGATTCACAACCCTGAAACAGTAAAAGAAGTACATATCAGCAAAACTCTAGTAAGAATTCACTTCTTCCTGCACAAGAAAGTCTTATTCTCTGGAAGGCAATTCCAAAAGTGGTAAGAAAGGTAAAGGGAGGGAGATGCCGAGTCCTAGAAAGCAGAAAACTTCTGGTAAAAAGACCACTGAAAGAGACTTAAGCTTTCAGTAAGTTAACTATTTCCAGGTTCTGAGCACTTTAGACATAATAGACTCCTGTCACAGTTACATTCACCCTCTATCAAAAGCCTGAGTAAAATCATAGAGTGTGCATTTTGCCTGAAGTGCAGCGGAGATTAGTTTCAAACAAAGCACAGGGGCAAGTTCGGGACACTTCCACCGCTCCTGCCCTGCTCGTGTATCTAGTGGCACAGAGCAGCAGTGCTGCATCGGACATCAACCGTCTCCGCTAAAGGGCAGCTTTACAGGCCTACCCTGTGTGGAGCTTCAGGCATCGCTCTTGGGATACTAGACCAGGCTCAGCCGACAGCCCAGACCCTGAAACAGGAGGCAGGTGCAAGACATGCTTCTGGGTTACTGGGCAGTGAAACAGGAGAGCTGCTTTCTGGAGACAGCTCCATATACAACATGATGTTGCAACTCTTACACTTGGAAATGAAGCAAGCGTGAAAATAGGGGGAGAGTGCTGGGGGTGGTGTGGGGCAGAGGGAAGGCATCGTCTCAGACAGAAGCCACCACTGACCCTCGGTTCTCCAGCAGTGTGCGTCAGCTGTGCCACATCTACCATAGTTTCCACCAGTGGGGCCACTTCTCACTGGATTTGACTGGTGACTGCTGCGTGGGATTGTGAGAAACTAAGTGCATGTGCATAAGCATCCCTAGACCAGGACGACAGTGCCGTGCATTGAGTCTTCTGTAGCCTATTTCCAGCTTTCAAAAGAAAACTTAAGTGCTGTGCCAAAGTCCCTCTACTCTTACATTTCTATCTCTATTCCTCCCTTCTATAATTAGATTCAGTATATCTGCTAGACAGGCAGGGGCTTGTCATTTTTCCATTTCTCAAACCTACAAATGGACCAGCTCCCAGCTGGATGTGAAAGCTGGATCAGTCTGACACCAAGTTACTGACTCTGAAGTGGGCAAACACACCCCCAGAGGGATCATCCCTTGGGCAACAGTCCAAACAGGGTCTTGGTTATACTAACCAACCGCACTGAGATGGAGCAGGATTTGTCTCCCACAGAGAGACAAACTGCAGTTTCAAGGTTGTGGAAAGCTGTTGTCTCATACAAACCTGAAATCTGTCCCCTTTCAGGCTTCAGAAATACAAAGATTACCTGATTTGGGCAGTGGACTCTTCGGTACATCTTTATCTCCGTTTTCCATTTGCACAGCACATCTTGACTAAATGTGGGCAGTCCAGGACGAGTATATTTCAGCTGAGATAAAGAGATGGAACTGAAAGCTGGAAGCAATGTTGGCTACACATAGTGCCAAGTATGTCCCTTTCTCTCCCAGGTTGTGAGTCAGAAGGGCTGTTTCTTCTCCTACTCTAACAGCCACATTCTCAATAACATAACTGAATCTGGAAAACCCCCACAATACCAGAATCCAAAACTTCCCATAACTTTGACTACAACAATTCCTCTAAATGTACTTACCTCATTAAAATCATAAATCATCCTTTTCCCTTGGGTTTCCCTTACAGCCTAAAAGATGCTCCTGGAAACTCTGAAGCCTGAAAAACTATGAAATATCACTGCATGGCAGCAGTGATCTGCAGCCTATGACCGGTGAGAAACATACTGCCTGCAACTGCCTTCATTGCTTTACAGCAATAGGACCTGAACGTCATTACAGCCTGCCTGGATAAAATACTTATCCCACAGCAATTGCTACTGTAGCAATACTGCAATCTAAGACCAGAGAGAGCAAAATCTGATCCCTCCCACAAGATACTACTTCAATGCTGCTTTCCATGGGCCACTAAACACTGGCAGCACTGCGAAGATGCCAGCGCAAGACTCATTTGATGCGAAGACAGACTCAAACCCGACATAGCATTTTGAAGGCCTTGTACCTTCCGGTCATCTGGAATCAAGTCCTGCAGAACTTTTCTCTTGGGCCACTCTTTGGCCAGCTCTTCTCCAGCTAGCTCATGGAGATAGTAGATTGCCACCTTTGCAGATCTCCTCTGAACTCTGCCTGTGTTATTTGGCTCCCGTTTTATTTCCTTCAGGCTCTCTGTTCTTCTCTCCTCATGGAGGAAAGTGACCTGCAATGAAGGCCAAAAAAGGTGAGCCTCCTTCACTAGTTCCTGTTTCAGTTACACCAAATACTGTGGAAAAATGTTCTGCCAAGTCCCTCACAAAAATGCTGCAGCAGCTGTGGTTCACTGTCACAGACATGGGACAGAAGTGCATCCCACTAGCAAGACAGACCCCCAGATCTTCTCAGGGCGGGTCACAGAAGTAAGGCTCAAGCAGAGAGTTTCATGCAGCCACTGGTCTCGAAAGGTTGTCACATCATTCACTGTAAAACCCTCATGGACAGCAAGCATAGTACTGCCTGTTCTGCTCCAGTGTTGGGTCTTTTAAGAGCAAAGAAAAGCATCTCACAAGTTATACATGTTACCATCATTCTTCCACGGAGCAAAAGTCAGGCTGGGGAAAGTTTACTGCTGCCATGGTGATTTACTATTAAAAACTTCACCCTAGTCACAGAAGGGCTACAGCTGCTGCTAGAAGGAAAGTATCAAGGACAAAATACTCCAGAGAGACAGAAAAATGCAAAGATTGCTATCCCTAATCACCCACACAAGTAGCAGACAAAAGCCTACATGTGTCTCAAGTCTGAATGGCTGAAGTATCACCACACTGTCTATGGCAACTTGCACTTACCGGCCCATGCTTAGATCGGAGATGGTAGACAAGTCCTGCCTTTGATTTGTATGCTTTTCCACAGTGATGGCACTTCATAGCCATTTTCTCCAGCTCAGAAGCAGCCTTCCCACATTTTTTAACATGATATAGGTATCCCATTATGCTAGTGAAGCTGCCTGTGCAGCCCTGTCAATGCAGAAGAAAAATGCACAGAAGAAAAACGCTCTCCAAGTGATCACAAGATCACAAGTGTTTAGAATCCACAGTTTGCTGACCAAAGTACTGCCACTTTTCCTGCCAGACCAGAGACGATCAGGTAGTAAACTTTAATGTTAGTCTATTCAGACAGACAAAATCTGTGACAAAGAATTGGCTGCAACTGGGAGAAATTGTTTCTTAGAACTTCTTCATAGGTAGTGGGCAATACAAAATTTCAATATATGGAATGAAGAAGGAAGACGTTAAATGAGGATGCACAAAACAGAAAGATTTTCAGATAGAAATGGAGGAGTCGGGCAGAAAAAGAGGAAGGTTTCTTACTTAGCTGGCTGGTCAAACTGTCTAGAACACAGCAATATTAGGGTGATGGTAAATAAAACTTTCAGGTATTCCTAGGATACAGCTATTGTCTCATGCTGCAGCAGAGGACAACAAAAACTCCAATGGTTCCTATGGATGTCACTTACTAGAATACCTCCTAACCCTGAATCCAGTGATCAACTTGACACTGAGCTTGGAAACAAGACAAATCAAACATGCATCAGCAAATGTTTAATGTTCTTAGATGTATCTAGCTGCCCTCCATCCCCTTCTCTTGCTGTGGCTCATCTCAATATTTTCAAAAACCACAAACTCACACAGTTGTTTATGCATAAAACATCTTCCCAGGTATCACAAACAACTAAGCGAAGAGCAGAAGCACACATTAATAAAATACTTTTGGTGCACACAAGAAACAATCCAGTGTCCTCTCGATCCCCCTTGATGACTCCAACACATCAAATACTCAAAGAGCTCTAGGTGATCCTGCTTGAGCACAGGGGCTGAACTAGATGACCTCAGAAGTTCCCTTCCAGCCTTAACAACTGTGTAATTCTGTAAACAGTTTATAACACTGTTACAAGGTAAAATGGTTATCCTTTAACTTCTTCCTCCCTAACATCTTCCATTGAATGCATTTATAAAGTCACACCTTTGCTGAATCTACATTTACACATCCAGTTTAAGGGACCCATTTAAAAAAAACGATAATAAAAATAAAACCTCCACTTCAATTACCCTAGTTATCCTCTCTAAAAGAGTTTGAATGGGGATCAGACAGTAACCAAAGGTGAACCCCTTTCTAGTGTAAGCAAGAGTCACCACAAGTCACCTAACAAGTCATGTGTGAAGCCCACAACGTGCACTTGTAGCCCAGGCGGCCAACTGCATCCTGGGCTGCCCCCAAAGCCGTGTGGCCAGCAGGGCGAGGCAGGGGATTCTGCCCCTCTGCCCCGCTCTGGGGAGACCCCCCTGCAGTGCTGCGTCCAGCTCTGGAGCCCTCGGCACAGGAGAGACATGGACCTGCTGGAGCGGGGCCAGAGGAGGCCCCAGCAACGCTCCGAGGGCTGGAACAGCTCTGCTGGGAGGCCAGGCTGGGAGGGCTCAGCCTGGAGCAGAGAAGGCTCCGGGGAGACCTTCCTGCAGCTGCCAGGGCTTGGAGGGGCTGAGGAGAAAGACGGGGACTTTTTAGCAGGGCCTGTAGTGACAGGACAAGGGGTGACGGTTTTAAACTAAAAGAGGGGAGAATCAGACTGGATATAAGAAGACATTTTTCCCAACGAGGGTGGTGAAGCTCTGGCCCAGGTTGCCCAGAGAGGTGGTGGATGCCCCATCCCTGGAAACACCCCGGGTCAGGCTGGACAGGGCTCTGAGCAACCTGCTCTGGGCGAAGATGTCCCTGCTCACTGCAGGGGTGGGACTAGATGGCCTTTAAAGGCCCCTTCCAACCCAAACTATTCTACGATTCTATGATTCTCTGTTTCAAAAGCACAGCTAGGATCTTGAAACAAATCAAGCTTTGGTCAGCACCAAAGCATACCCAGCAGAACTCTCATAATATTTTACGTTCATGTATGCACTGCTGTTTAATTCAGGATACTTAGCACAAAGCAGCTTACCTCCCTTGTACACTTTAGTTTTCCCATACGTTTCAAAACCTTCCGAAGGCGATCTCGCTCAAGTTGCTCATCCAATTCTCCTCCCTCCTTCACAACTGGCTAAAGCACAGCAGAAAGGTGAAAGAAAAACACAGGATGGTCAGCATTTACAGTTCTTTTCATAGGGAATTCGCTACTCAACACACTACTGAAGGAAAGCTTCTAAAATAATTAAATCTTTGCAACTTATAATTTTACAGAAGTGTATCTAATACAATGATGACTGTCTATATCCCAGAACAACTGAATTATCTTTAAAAGGAGTAAACCACCTGAAAACCTCTCTGCAGATAAGAGTTTTACCATTTAGATAGCTATCTATGAACGAAACCTTGATAAAAAATGGTCCCAAGCTGTAGCTGCTGGGAAGGACAAGGGTATGTGTTTCCGTAATTCCCCTTCTGCCTGTGGAAAGTACTTACTCGTCTCTGTCATGTACCTTTAGCATTTACTGGTCCTACCATTTCCACTTTTAGCCTAACTAAAGCTAAGCAGACTAACTGCCTTTAATAGTTATTCATCTATGCTAAACTAGAGCTCAAGTTCTCCTCTGTTCTCTCTCTGATGGTATGTTATTTCCTCCACTACCTTATAACAGGTTGCCCAGAGAGGTGGTGGATGCCCCATCCCTGGAAACACCCCAGGTCAGGTTGGATGGGGCTCTGAGCAACCTGCTCTGGTTGAAGATGTCCCTGCTCACTGCAGGGGAAGTTGGACTAGATGGCCTTGAAAGGTCCCTTCCAACCCGAATTATTCTATGATTCTATGATAATAATATTACACTCAGACTGAATAAAAAGTTAGAACTGAGTGACAGACCTATTCCTCATAGCCAGAACATGTTCCCTAGCCTTTTTCACTTACTAGTACAGTTGTAAGTTCAGAAAGCACAGTACTGGGAACTACATAAAAAATAACAGTAATGGATTGGCTAAACCTTACCCAAACTTCTGAATGACCTTTCCAAAAGTTCTAATTCTTCACAACTACAACAGGAGACATTGCCTTCTTTAAAGTGATAGCAAAGAGGAAAAGCAGACTGTAGCATTATCTTTCCAGTAAATAGACTGAACTGCTATTACTAGACAGTAAATAGACCAAACTGCTGCTTCTACTTTTTTACCTTTGAACTTTTAAAGAACTGAAATCTAGTCCGCTCTGGATGTAGAAAAAAATCCTACTTTCTAGCAAAGGACTGAAAATTGCAGCCTAATGAACAATCTTTCTTCTTCTGATTGAGAATGCCTTTTATGTGTGACACATAACCAGCCTAAACAGAAGTTCATCCCCTGTTTCTAAGGATACCTACCATCTCTGGAAACGTTCTACTGTTTTTCAGATGTCAAATCTCACAGGAAAAATAATAGGTAGACAAGATTTGAGCAGCTACCACATTTGAAAAAATACACCATGTTCTGTTTCTGTGTGCACCAGGGAAGGAACAGAAGACTGTCTTGCCTGTAGGATTTTTAGATGCACAGAAGTTGTGTTACCTGATTGTTATGGTCTGCCATGACATGGTATTTCATCCCTCCTAAAGACTTCAGCTGCTTCCCACAGTGATGACATGTGAACATTTCCTAAAAATAAACATGGACATGGTGCATGTAACTGTAAATTAACCAAAGCAATGAGAAACTCTTTGGGGGAAAGGAGCAGGAGAGCAGAACATTTTATTTGGGCCTGGTAACTGCCCATTAAGAACAGAAGAGATTTTATGGAGCCTAAAATTTAGGGGAACAATGAAATAGCTACACCTTTGTTCACTACCCCAAACCTCCAGCAAAACACTAAGCAAGATGCACCAAGCGCAGCCTCTCACAGATGTATAAAGGACTCTTGCTTAGAGACATGATGATGACATGAAACTGGGTTTAAATGCAACACAAAACAGTATAAAGGCATTTCTATCAGTTAGCTGAAAAGGAGTAAAGAAAACATTGCTCATCTCTGGTGTTCTTACCTGCCTGCAATTTACCATATGTTTCTTCAGTCCTTCTACAGTCTTTCTCACCACAGCCCGGCATGTTGGACAGGTAACTCGGCCTTTGTCCTGAATTTCCAAAGACCATCGCTCTTCCATACTACCTGTCAAAACAAAGAGTTTGCAATAGAACTGCAACCACAGTATCTTTTTTTCCCTTTGATGTGCACAATGCATCCTAGAAGGAAACAGGTCACATGCTACCAAACTCGTGTCCAGCTACACTTCAAAAGGCTTAGCTTGTTTGCAGCTTTAAATGTGTCATGTTACAAGGCACACATCACTCCTTTTGGGAGATCACTTTATAAAAGCTCTTAATCCTACCATCCCCTTGCAAGGAGTGTTCTTCCACTTGTTCAGTAGAGATTTATCCTTCGTTCATTTTTATTACACAAGTACTTCAACATGCAGAGTAAGCTTTTCGTTCGGCAAAAGAGTTTTCACAAAAAAAGTAGTCACATATGTGAGTGAATAGCTTCAGACAAAGGCCATGGTTCAGTTCTACTAACCAAATCTTTAGAACTTCACTTATGTTAGTCAGCAGTTTTGGTGCTGAAAGTGAACAGAGCTGCACCACCAAGCCAAGTTACTCAACAGCCAGGGAAAAGCACCCTGTGTGGCATTGTTTCCAGTTCCTGGCCTCTTTCTGAAATGCCAAAAAAGTGTTGGCATAATCCACAGGGATTATAAATTACTGAAATGGGTTCTGTGAAGAAAGTGGCTTAGCAGCCATCTGCTTGAATTCTCATCATAAAAAGATCTAAAGGCTTTCCTCTTTGCTCAGTAATAATAGGCAAGGGTTGTCCCTCCCCAGGTGGCTGGGGGAAAAGTCAAACAGCACTTGGCAGAAAACTGGGGTATTTAATGAGTGCTGTGAGCTACACATACCATGTCATTCCACTTACTGAGTCAAGGCTAATGTTGTTTTTCTAGGATGGACTGCTTGGGTCTCTGGCTAACAGGTTACCAGAAGAGGTGATCTGGCAGCAACAGCTACAGAGTTTTTCCTGCAAACATATGCTGCTGAGTAAAAAAGTAAAAATATTTTTATGAGTTTTATAGTGAAATGATTTTAACAGGCTTTTTCTCAGTTCAAAAAGTGATTCCCCCTTCACTGTTCCATTATGCAGTGGTAAAACCACGTGGAACTGCACTATCGGGCAGTATGCAGTCCCTCCAATCTTGCTCTGCAGTACTGACACAGTGCCAAAAGGACAGCAGCCAACTCTTCCTTGTCAACAGTGAAGTGAACAACAAAACGGAAACACCAGAAATACAGCTGTCACTCAGATTCAAATCCTAGAATCAAATTTACCTTTTAGCTGCTTTATAAACAATTCTGAGCAACTGCTGCTTCTTCTTACCTGTGCCATAGGTTGCTGGTTCTTTCTGAACACAGTGGCCTTTTGTTTTGGAGTTTTGTTGTGTTCCAGCTTGCTGTTTTTTTCCTGTTATAACACAAACAAGAATGACCAGAAGACTTAATCCTGCAAGCCTTGTTACAAAAAAGCAGACATTTTTTTGCTAGGAGGCTGCTATTTAGTCTGCTGTCTCAAAGCTACTCATTTAGAAATGTTCAATTTTTTTTTTTTAAAAAGAAATTTCAAGATTATGTTCCCTACTCCTTTTCAAAATCCATAGATATTTACAGCTGCAGGCGTTAGTCCCATCCAGGTATCTGTATCATACACAAAGCTCAGAGAATAGGAACTCTTCACACTGAAACATCCTCTGTTCACAGTATGGCTGAGCCAATCTAATGACTTGTTGACAACCAAATGGGCAGTCCCATTCCTCTACTCCTTCCTGTTTCCTTTAGACTAAACAACTCTTATTGCTTCAGTATTTTCTCATGGGTTATGCTTTTTGCTCTCTTCTCTGCCCTGTTCTCTTCAGTTGGTCCACGCATTTCCTGAACTGCAGTGCCCACTGCTGGAAACAGCACTCCAAGTGTGACCCTGCATTAGAGCAAAAGAATTACTTCACATGTCTGAAAGTCTACATTCCTAGTAACATCTGCCTTTTTAAAAACCATTTTGACACTGTTGGTCCCTATTCAGCTTTTGATAAGTTATAAATCTCAAATCCTTTTCTGAAGAACTGACATCTAGGAGGTTTCTTTGTCTTTCAGCTGTGCTAATATTTCTTCCTAACAAAAGTATCTTTAATTTTACAGATTATATTCCATTCTCTTTTTAAACTGTTTCTCTAACATCAAGACCACTTTCTGTTTCAGGCTTTTCTCCAACACACTTGCCATGTCTTTCAGCTTCGTGCTGTCTACATACTTCCAAGTCCTTGGTGACAAAAACAGTAATTAGAATTGAACTTAGCACAGACTGTGAACCATCATTTTATACTTTTTTCTATTTCACAGAAATCACAGAAACATTAAGGTTGTAAGGGACCTCCTGAAATCACCTAGTCCAATCCCTGTGTTCAAGCAGGGTCAGCTACAGTAGGTTGCTGAAGAAAGTATCCAGTCAAGTTTTGAGTAACTTTACTGATGGAGACTCCACAACCCCTCTGGGCAACCTGTGCCAGGGTTTGGCCACGCTCATAGTAAAAAAGTGTACCCTTGTCTTCAGATAGAATTTTCTGTGTTTTAATTTGTGCCCGTTGCCTCTTGTCCTGTCAGTAAGCACTACAGAGAAGACTCTGGCTCCCTTTTCTTCATTCCCTCCCATCAAGAATTTATACACATTTGATAAGATTCCCTCTGAGCCTTCTCTTCTCCAGACTGAAGAGCTGCAGCTCTCTCAGCCGGTCCTCAGAGGATTCCAGTCCCTCAATCATCTTTGGAGCCCTATACTGGGGAGCCCAGAACTGGACACAGTACTCCCAATGTGGCCCCACCAGTGCTGAGGAGAAAGGAAGGATCACCTCCCTCGACCTGCTGGCAATGTTCTTCCTAATGTAGCCCAGAATGCTGTTGGCTCTGCCTTTGCCACAAGAGTGTGTTGCTGGCTCATGGTCAGCTTGCTGTCCTCTAGGACCCCAAGGACCCTCTCTCCACTTTCAGAAAGTTAGCCCCCAGCATATGCTGGTACTTGGGGTTATTCCTGCCCAGCTGCAGGACTTCACATTTCTCCTTGATGAACCTCTCTGCTTAATTCCCCAGCTTGTCCTGGTCCCTGTGAATGGCAGCACGCCCATCTGGTGTACCACCACTCCTCCCAGTTTTGTATCATCTGTGAACCTGCTAAGGGTGCACACCGTCCCGTTGTCCAGGTCATTAATGAAAATGTTAAAGTTCTGGCCCCGGTATTTACCCCTGGAGTACACCACTAGTGATGCGCCTCCAACTAGACTTTGTGCTGTTGATCACAACCCTCTGCACCTGCATGTTCAGCTGGTTTTCAATCCACTGCACTGTTTATCTAACCTGTACTTTGTCAGCTTGTCTATGCGGATGTTGTGGGAAACAGCACCAAAAGCTTTACTGAAGTTGAGGTGAACAACATCCACTGCTCTCCCCTTGTCCACCAAGCTAGTGACCTCATTGTAGAACACTATCAGGTTGATTAAGCATGATTTGCCCTTCATGAATCATGCTGACTATTCCAAATCACCACCTTGTCCTTCATGTGTTTGGAAATGTTTTCCAGGAGGATTCTCTCCATCACCTTCCCAGGGACTGAGGTGAGGCTGACTGGCCTGTAGTTTCCCAGATCTTCCTTCTTTCTGTCCTTGAAGATAGGAGTGATATTTGCTCTCTTCCAGTCTTCAGGAACCTTTCCCAGTCGCCATGACCTTTCAAAGATAATCAAGAGTGGCCTCATAATGACATCAGCCAGCTCTCTCAGCACTCAGTGCAACCTGTCAGGCCTCACAGGACTTAGGTATGTCCAATTTCTTTAAGTGCTCTAACCTCGTCCTCCGTCACTGAGTGTAGGCTTCTGACCTGGGTCTGGCTGAGGTGGAGTTAATTTTCCCCATAACAGCCCTCAGTGCTGTGCTTTGTATGGGCAGCTAGAACAGTGTTGGCAACAGCTCTGTGTTTTGGCTGCTGCTGAGCAGTGCTCGCACAGCATCAAGACTGTCTCTCCAACATTCCCCCTGGCCCCAGTAGGCTGGGGGTGGGCAAGATCTTGGGAGGGGACACAGCCAGGACAGCTGACCCAAACTGGCCAAAAGGATATTCCATACCATATGACATCAGCTCAGCAATAA